GGGCCGTCTGGGGGCTCTCTTGGGCCGTCTCGGGGGCGTCGAGGAGGCCTCTTGTGCCGTCTTGGAGCAGTACTGGGAGCTTCTTGGGCTGTTTTGGGGCGTCGGAAGGCCGAAAAGGCGAAAATGACGAAAACATCGAAAATCAACGATTTGGGCCTCTTGGGGCGCTCCTCGGGGGCCTCTTGGAGGTCTCTTGGGGCGTCTTGGAGGTCTCTTCGGGCGTCTTGGGGCCCTCGTGGGGCGTCTTGGAAGCCCCTTGGGGCCTCGTGGGCGCTTCTTAGGGCGTCTAGGCGGTCTCTTGGGGCGTCTGGGGGCCTCTTGGAACGTCTGGGAGGCCTCTTGGGGCCTTTTTGGCCCGTATTTGGGCCTTTTTGGGCCCGGAAGAGCGTCGTGAGTCGCTCGTGGTGGGCACCCCCCCCCCTCCAAATCGACTGGACCGGGTTCCCCGGGGAGGGGTTTGGGGAGGGGGAAGCATCTCACACGCCGATGACCCAGGGGGTCGGCGGATTACCTCGGCACCATCAGACTGCAGGTGATGGCCCAGATGCGCCCCACTTTTCCGCCACAGAGACGCGTGATGTTTAATGCTCACTGCATGCTTAAAGCAATGGTGGAGGACACGATGGCTCGAGCGTTCGGCACGTCGCAGGCGGTGCGCGTCAACAGCATCTATTTCAGGGTTGCGGCAGTTATGAGGAGGAGATTCGAACCATAACCATGGCGCACAGGTTGCTGAACCGGGCGTCGACCCAGCGGATGCTCTCTTGCGTGTCCTCAGGGCTTATTGCAAACAGTCCGACGCGTGCAAGACGAACAGGTTCGCGATCAGCGTCAAGAGGGTGGAGCCACCGACGGCGGAGGACCGCCAGCTCACCAACGCAGTCCAGTTTAGTGGCGATGGCAGCGCTGTCGTTCGAAGTCGGCGGCTCGATCGGCGGGGGAGGTGACCTTCAAGGGCGCAGTTTTTCAGCAAGCGCAATTCTTGGCCATTGACGCCGATCCGCTGGCAGACGCGGTGCTCGCGATTGACCCGGCCGCTGCCGTTGCTACCGCGATGCGCAATGTCAACCAGATCCGCATCGCCCGCCCCAGCGGCAACCACGCGTTCATCCCGTGCCTCGCGACGAATCTCGACTAGACGATCGCGAACCTTCAAAAAAAACACGAGCGCGATCGACGATGTGAAGTCGTCCGCGAGCGTGAGGAGGCTGCTGCGAGGGTCGCGGCAGGTGCTTCAGCCCCATCAAGGCGCACTGCGTGAGCCGAGGGTCGCTCAGGTAGGTGATCGCCACCAGCGTATGCCATGCAGCTTCTTTTTTCCATGTGCATCTTTCAGTCGATGCGGGGGTGATGAGCACGCGTCGTGCTCAGGCGCCGCTCCGGGCGCAAATGCGATGACCGGTGGGTCGTAGCCCACGTCGCCCTGCGCATGACCTCGGGATGCCCCCGCAGTTTTTGCGGAGCGCGCGGTCAGATACGATTGAAAGAGCACAGGGGGGGAACATGTACGAAGCTGGAGGGTAGAGACCAGGAAAGGGGGCTGCCGGCCCGTGCACCACTTGGATCTCTGAGTCCGAGGCTGCGCCAGAGCTGGGCGCGATTGGGCCATTAGATTTGTATCATAATCGTTTGGCTCCAACAGAAGTTTCCTTGGAAACTCGGAACAAGAAGCATATGTGTGTACGCCCATCGGCGACATGAACTGTCGCGCGCGCGCGCGTGCTCCGCGCTCGCCCGCGCGGGATCCCAAGACGCCCCCATGGCCGCAAAATGGTTCCAAGAGGGCCTGAGGCCACAGACGGCAACGTCCAGACGACCCCGGGAGGACGCCACCCCAGCACGATCCCGCCATACACTCTGGACCGTCCCAGGCCGACTCGAAGATGACCGAACAAGAGCCACGAGTGACGCCGAGATGGCCCGATGGCAACAAGATGGATCCACGCGCGCCCAGAGTGGCTCCAGAATGAACACGACGGCTGCGCGATCCAAGCATGACCGAGATTTGATCTCAAGATGATCTCAAGACGACCCTGACATGCCAATAATGCTGCAACTTCGAAGCCGCATCTTACTTTGAAACGATCCCAGCATGGCGGGATCCGTGCACGACCCGGGATGATTGTTTACCCTATTTTTAGTGGGTGGGATTTTAGTCTGGCTGAACTAAACTTATATTATTAAAGGGGAGTGAGCTAGGCGGGATCCCACCCAGCCCACGGGAGAAGACTACATTGCTAGGCTTCTACGGGAGGCAGGGGGGCTCGGGCAAGGCGTCATTTACTTCCGCTGTCTTCCGCAAGCCTCCCAACGGCCTTCCGACGTCTTCCGCCTCGTTTTGCTCCCGTCGGCTTCCGCTAGCGGGCGACATGCCGAACATTCGAGGAACTTCCACTGGGCCCATGCAGGGCCTGGCCAGGTGCATCCCTTACGGCCCCGGGCCCTTCTGCTGCGCCCGGACCGCCTGCGATGCTGCGAGTCGCGGGCGTGCCTGCCCGGGATGGAGGAACGAACCAACAATGATGTGTTGGACCTCCTCCGCAAGTCAATGAGCCCACGGAATCTCAAGGGATCCGGAGGATCCGCAATAATCTGAATCCGAAGGAGTCCCAATGGACTGGAATCCTCAGGGATCCACTGGAATTCCTCGTGCTCCTGAAGGTTCCCCATTCATGCTTAGGGGTCGTTGCGAATCCATTGGGATTATTTGGGGTCCTTTTCCTTTCCTTCTTCTTCGTCCTCATCTTCCTCAGCTTCTTCCACATCGTTTGCTCGCGGCGCCTCTCGTCAAGCCGCGGGCTGACAAACCGCGGTTAGACATTTTTTCATATCGAGGGACCAACAAACATGGTCTTCATTTCATTGCGTGAATCTGTTCAGCCGAGCGCGCGCGGATCAACCAACACATGAAGCATCTGCAACGCATGTTTGTTCGCAGCTGTTATTGGCCCTCGCGCCTGGAACACGCGTCGTTTGCCTTGCCTGCTGGCTCTCGCGCTTGACGCAAGGCGCCGCGAGCAAGAAAGGGAGGGGGGCCCCGAGGAAAAGGAGGAGGGGGGGCTGAGGAGGAGGAGGAGGAGCGAGGGGGATGAATGGGGGAGTGCAGGAAGAGGAGGTTGAGGAGGGAGGATCGCTTGTTCCTCCAACGGCCTCCGACGCCGGGGAAACAGTCAGGCCCCCGACGCGCAGGGCGAGGAAACGGGACAAGGAATGCCCGGCAGCTCGCGCTGCTCAGTGCGCCGAGCCCGTTCGGCCCCCCCCCCTCCCCGAGGTATCCTTTTGAGTGCTGCGGGGCCCATCGGACTTCCGGGTTTTTCGAATTCCTCTGCAATGCAGTGGACCACGGGCTCCGCGCGGCGCCCGAGGATTATTGATATTCCGAATCCCAGGGGGGGCCCTGAGGAATGGAATCCTGAAGGGTCCAGTTGATTTCTGAGTAATCCGAAGCATTTCTTATTCATCATCCTTGGGAGTTGCTCCAAGGATCCTTCGGACTTGCCGGAGATCCCTTGCTTTCCTCCTCCTCCTGCCCCTGTTCTCGAAGCGCGTTTGCTCTCGCCCGCGCGAGGGGGTCAGGGTGTACTTCCTTGCTTCTCAGAGCCCCGAATCATCAGGGGTAACTCGGGTCAGGGCTAACTCGGGTTCGTTTTTCGGGAATCCGAACCCGAGTTACCCCGGACCCGAGTTACCCAGGATAATTCGGGCGTCCAGAGCCCCACATCATCAGGGGTTACTCGGGTCAGGGCTAACTCGGGTTCCTTTTTCGGAAATCCGAACCCGAGTTACCCCGGACCCGAGTTACCCCGGATAACTCGGGCGCCCAAGCTTCGCCATCAGATCATCAGGTCAGCGGCACCGTTAGGGCGGGGGGGGTAGGCTCAGGAGGGGATGCGTCGAACCCCAATCGCCGATTGATCGCCGATAGGGACCCAATAGCCCACCCCGCCCAGGACCGTGCGGTTTTGCTACCCGGGGCCTATCGCCGACCTGTCAGCGATGTATCGCTGATTTCAGCTAGATAGTTTCCCCCCTGAGGCGGTCCCCTCCAAACGTTTCCCCTCAGGTTGGGAGGAGCTTGCCAGAAGCACACGTTTTTTTGTTAAGTTTGTTGGATGTCGGTCTAGTAGAGGTAGTGCTTCGCAAAGTTTGGGCGCCAAGCGGTAAGCTAGTGCACCATGGGTGTCTAAGCCACGTGGGGCAACCCGGCGGCGCAAGCTGCGTGGTGCAAGCTGCTGTGTGGCGCAAGAGGTGTGGGGGGCGCATAAGCTATGTGGTGCAGTCCGTGTGGCGCGCGCTGTGTGTCTCGACCTCTGTGCCCCCCCCCCCCTGAGCCCGTCCCCCCCCCCCCTGTAGGGTAGCTTCGCGCCGCGTCAGCGCGGCGGCGGCCCCAGCGGCGGGCGTCCGAGGTGGAACGCCGGCACCAGTCCAGCGCCGCGAGGCCTCGACCGATCTGCGGCCACGAGCGAAGCCGCGATCCTTCGAGCTCGAAGGCTTCGCCCGCGGTGACGGCAACCGACGCCGACGTCATCGCGACGCGAGCCTACCGTAACTCAGGGCGTGAGTTACCTACCCCGCTTTCGCTTCCAGGCAAAAAAACAAGTCATACCACGCGCCTCCTGGTCAAGCGACCTGACTGGTGCGGGCCGTAGCCTGGTATCTTTTGGTATCTTTTGGAAGCGAGGGTGTCCAAAAGCGAGGTAGGTTCGTTTGCCTCCTGGTAACGTTCCTTCTCATCGGGCCCTTCTCAAGCAGTGGCGAAGCGTCCTGTCTCGCCTATAGCCCTACGAAAATCAGTGCTCTAAGAACCTTCTGTTGTTTCCACGACATGTCCTCCGAACATTTCTGGCCGGGACTGTCTGGGTTTAACACGTCGGTTCATGGTCTAAGAGCATGGTTTTCGTTATTCGAACATTTTGGGGTTCTAAGAACATCTCGTGGTAGGACTAGAGGACTGCCGGGACGGTCGGTCCCTGCCCAACCTCTGGGAGCGCGCCCAGCGCAGCCCAGAGCCCTGGCAGGCTCGAGGCAGCTCGCCGAGCAGCTCCTTTGCCGCCCGCGGCGTGGTGCGCGCCCAGAGCCGCGCGGCGCGCCGCGGCGGGCGGCCGCGGCGGCCCCGCGCATGTCGGAGGGCGATGGCGCTGGGAGCACGGGCTCCTGGGGGTGTCGAGCTCCTCTCGGGTATGGCCAGGACCCCATGGGTAAGGGGACCCGGTCAGTGGTACAGTCGGGGCCCCGAAGAAGGAACCCTTTTCGTTGGGGAGGGGCTCCGCGTTCCTGAAGTGTTTCCCAGCTTGCCTCAGGTTTTCCTTATGTTTTCGATCGGAAATCGAAGTTTAACTCATGGAAAAAGGGGCCTCGTTCCTTATTTTGGGTTCCTTAGGTCAAGGCCCCGGCTGTAGGGCCCCGGAGCCCTTGAATTGGCCAGAATCACCACACCAGGTTTGCCGCAGGTGGTGCTTTTTCGGGTTGCGGCGGTTCAGGTTAGTGGAAGGGCGGGAGGGCGTCCCCCAGTACACATCACTAAACCAGGTCCCACTAAACCCAGTTCTGCCAACGCCCGATCCTCGCCGCCGGTTCTCCCCCTTGGATGCTCGTTTTGCGGGCCCTTCCTGGGCCCACCTGGCGGATCTCTTCGACTTTCAGTCGGCTCTCGGTCGACCCGAGGTCGACCCAAGACCGGCGCAAGCCGACGGACGCTCGACGCAGCAGCGGCCCATGAGTGGAGCAGGTGGCTCGAGGCAGGTCCCCAGAACGAGCACGGCAGGTTCGTGCGGCGCCGGCGACCCCGGCGACCCCGGCGAAGGCGTTCAAGATCGATCTCCGCTTGCTAGAACAACGCGAAAACACCGAAGGGCACGCCATCGTCACAGGACCCGACGGAATTCAGCCTGGAACGATCGGGGCCGCAATCGCTTCATGGCTCAAGGACCGGCGCGGTGTCAGAAACCTTTGGGCGCGCCCATGCCGCACGAACCTACCGTACACCCATCAGAAGTTGTAACAAAAAGCATCACATTCCATGGACTTTTACTTCGCTCAAGATAACCAAGAGTCTGGACTGGACCCTGGGCGTTCTCTTGGAGTTTCTTTTTTGTGTGGAAGGCCCGTCTCTGTGGATCTGGGCTACTGGTCAGGAACATGCCTGGTGTGAGGTCCTTTTCTTAGCGTAAGATGTTCTTCACTTTGAGCAGGGGTGGAGGAGGAGGAGGAGGAGGAGGAGGAGGCAGCGGAGGAGGAGGAGGAGGAGGAGGAGGAGGAGGAGGAGGCAGGGGAGGAGGAGGAGGAGGAGGAGGAGGAGGAGGAGGTGTACGTTCTCCTCCATCGATCTGCTCCTCATTCGTTATGCCACCCCCCCTCCCTCCCAGCACGGGCTCCCAGTCGCCCCAGCTCCTCGCCGGCGGCTCCTCCCTCGGCCTCTGCTCCTCACTCGGCCTGCTCCTTCCACCTCTCTCTCCTCCTCCTCCTCCTCCTCATCCTCCTCCTTCCCTGCGTCCTCCTTCTCCTCCTCCTCCTCCTCCTTTTTGAGGCTGGGAGGGCCCTTTCCCGAAGGGTGCGGGTCTCGTTAGTTTCGCCTCGGACGGGCTCTCGTTCGTTCTTGCTCCCGTGCGCCTTCCTCTCTGTTCGGCAGCGAGCGGGGGGGGGAAGTGAGAAGGAGCAGGTCTTCTCAGAAGCTTCGGAAGTCCCCCGTCCTTCTGAGAGGTCCTCTGAGCGTTCCCGAAGGCAGAAAACACTTCTCAGGAGGCGCGAGGGCTTCTGAAATGCCCCGTCGCCCTCTGAGAGTGCCTTCTCCTTCTCGCTTCCCCCCTTCGCTCGCCGCCGGTCTGTGGCCTGCGTCTCCCCTCCCTCGTCCTGCCCCCCCCCGCTCCAAGGCCAGGCGTCGCAGCAGAAACACGGCTGCACGACCAGGGGCTCTCGGGGCCTCCGCGCGGGCCTCTCCTTGGACCGGCGCTGGGCTTTCCCCCCCGGCGGCGCGCCTCCTGCGCCGCCCCCTGGCGCGCTCCGCGCACCGGGGAGGGGTGCAGGTGTGAAGTCGGGCATGTCCCTGTACAGGAGGAATCGTTGAGACTGGTCAAGAAATAGTTTGGGCACGATTTCCCTTGTTAACATATGATTGGCCATGTTTGCACTTGTTCAAAAGTATGTTTGATTTTTCTTCCGGAATCCGCCTGTAAGGGACCATGCCCGACATGATGCAGGTGCGCCCGTTCAAGAAATCTGCGCGGACCTCCGAAAGGTCAGATTTGCGCCGTCTGTCCTGCTGCTGCTCCACAAGGGCGCCCTCGAGGGCGCGAAGTTATTCGCGCTTCGCGCTTCGCGGTTCGGCTCCGATTCCTCCTCATCCTCCTCTTCTCCCCTGGAAGGCGGCGCGAGAGCGCGAGGTTGTTCGCGCTCCGCGCTTCGCGCAGCGCGAAGCGCGAAGCCGGGAGCCCCGTGCCCCAGCCGCACCTCTTGCGCACTGCTCCTCTTGACGGCCAGGCCCCCCGCGGACGGAGGCCTGCAAAATCCCGGCGCTTTCTCCGCCTGTCTCGGTGCCCCCCAGGGTAGGGTCTTTCTAACTCAGGAGGGGAAAAACACACAGACACAAGTAATCGTCGATTCCTGGGAGAATATGGGAAAGTATGGGCAGTGGGGGGGAAGACAACAACCCAGAAAACATGGGAAAACATGGGAAATCCTGTTACTTGGGCGAATTTTTTTGTGTGTCCCAGGGCCCCTTCATTTATATTGGTTTCCGCGGCCATCCGAGATGGATCTGGACGAATCTTTCCTCCAGGGAAGGTGTCGAGACTTACGGGGCCGCGGACTGGAAAAAATTGCATCGTCAGATGTCTGGGCTCTCTGCCCCCCTTCTCTCTCCCTTCGCCACTCCACTGCCTGCTCCCTCTCCCCCCCCCGCCTTCTCTTCGCCCCCCCTCGTCTTGCTCCCTCCGCTTCCTCTTGCTCTGCCCGCCTTCCTGCTCTTGTTCTTCCCCCCTTCTGTCCTCTTCCCTCCCTCTCTCCCTCCCCCCTCCTCCGGAGGCAGTGGAGCAGGGCCGAGAGCTGGGCTTGTCCCTCGCCTGGCAGAGAGGACGCGGTATATGTTCGTGCTCTGGTTCGAATCGCGTGCCTGGGCATCAGCGTGGGCTGGCGAACTGGCCGTGCGCGTTTCTGGCGCAGTGGGCGCCACGATGGGCGCGGAGGCGGAAAGCGAACATTGACGCGACACGAAAGGGACACTAAAGATAGTGGGGGTGGGTGGCGGAGGTTCCCATGATAATGTACCTATTCCGAGTCCCAGCGGAAAGGAGGGGGGGTCACAACCCTCCCAGACGAGCAGTTTCAGAGCACCCACCAGAGGCCAGAGCCATGAAAGGGCGCCTTTTGCCCAGACTTTCTGGAACCTTCCAGGACAGCTCAAATCAGACCCCCCCGAATCAGACGACCCCCACTTCATTTTGAAATTCGGGGTAACCGCACCCGCGCACGGGTGCTGCCTGTCCAACCAGCGATGGCAGCCTGCCGCCCCCCGGCGCAGCAGCGAACCTCCTGGCTCCTCCGTCCTTGCACTCCCGGACACGAGACCAGGACGACGGAAGGCGGCCGCGGCGGCAGCAGAGGGGGGCATCACGAGTGCCCCACCAAAGCAGGATCTCGCGCAGTTCGGCCGAGTCCGACTTTCTGATGGGGAGGGGGTGGAACCGGGGTCACGTGCGACCGGGCGGGGGGGCGACATTTGCTGCACGCAGCTGGTGTTGGCCCTGCCGCTGGGCACACGCCTCGACACTCGGTCTACCCAAGTGCCACAAGGCGCAGTGAAACCCACCTGTATGCAGTTAGTTTGCTAACTCCTTTTGGCAACTCCATCTTGTCCATCCCAGTCCTACGAAAAGAAGAAAGACGCATGATGAGGAGGAGGCTGAGGAGGAGAGTGGGAGGGGGAGGGGGGTGCTCGGAGGATAACCACAGAGACAGGAAAGCTACCCGCTTCTGCCCCACCTATCCCCGCAGGCTTGAGGGACGATGTGGCGAAGCCGTCCGAAAACTTCGGCTGGTATATGTACGACTTCGCCAATTCCCCCTACTACCAGGATCCTCCTCTGCGATCCTCCTCCTCGATCCTGCTCCTCGATCCTGTCTATCGTTAGCGTGGGTTTCTAGTGAATCAATTGAGTTCCCCCAGTGTGGATGAAGATGATGAGGGTGGTGGTGATGATGGTGATGACGGCGATGATTGTGATTCTGATGGTGATAGTGATAACGGTGACTATCGTAACTAATATTATTCCGCACTTTTATGTCATCATCTTCCTGCTTCTTGCCCCCGCGCCCCTGGCCACCCTTCTGGGGCCAGCGGCATGTCTAGCGTTTCCGCCAGCCCCTCCGCAGCGAGTCCCGCGAGCCCCCTGCTGAGACTGCCAGTCCTGTTTCCGCGAGCCCCCTGGGCCCGATGCTGAGCCTCGCGGCAAGCCCGATGCCGAGCCCGACGCCGACCCCTGCGGCAAACCCGACGCCGAGCCCGACCGGCGACTCCGAACCAGTGGCGAACCCAGATGCCGACGCGAAGTCGGGCGCCGACGCCGACGCAGTGTCAGCGGCCGCGTCGCAGGGCGCTACGTCCAAGCCAGACGGTTCGGCTTTTCAGGGCAGTTCAAATTCTGCTGACAACGGCTCCAGTCCAGAGTCGGCCACGTCGGCAACAGCGAAGGCCTCCCCGAGCAAAGCCGTCGAGAAGTTCGACCTTGTTTCCATGACTCTGGAGGAGCACGTCGCCAGCCACAACTCCCCGATGCACGTCAGGACGTTCGGCGCTTGCGGCTTTTGGAAAAACAGGCTTCAGTGGAGCGCCTTGTTGTCTGCGGCGACTCCACTAACCTCGAAGCGCGGAACTTTGATAGGCAGCGCCGGTGGATTTGCAATTTGCTTGCTTTGCGTGGTGTTCAAAGGCCCTCGGTGCCGCTGCGCCTTGGGCAAAGGCGTCGGGAGTTGCCGCCGCCGCGCAGGCCTCCTGCGCCACGCCGAGAGCCAGGAACACCACGCAGCAGAAGCGGCGTGGAAACAGGGGGTTCGAGCGGAAGGCTCGCACCAGGGCCTCCCCGTTTCAGTAGTTTCTGCATGTGCAACAGCCGCTCCAGCTGCGACAACCGCAACAGCTGCAACAGTTGCAACAGCCGCGGCGCAAGCGCCCGTCGTTGTTGGCGCGGCCGACCCGCGCCCGCGTTGCCGCGCAGCTGTCGGCGCCCGTGCACTTTTAGTGACGCCCAGTTCGTTTCGGAGTTTCGAATTGCGGCGCGGGCGCTCTTCGGGGGCGAGCGCGCAGCTTTGGAGTCTGCTCTACAGCGCCGCCGGCCGGTGTCCACAATGGCTCGTCAGTTCGAGAAGCTCATTGCGCAGAGGATTATCCAAGAGAGTGCTGTGTTTCGTCCGAGTGCGGGCGGTCTCGACCGCGCGTGCCCAGTCGAAATTGGCGCAGCGTCGCGGTCTCCGCCGAAAATTTTGGGCTTTCTCCACAGCTGCGGTGGAACAGGCTGGCTGGCTGGGAAAGCTGGGCCCCGAACAGTCCTGGATCGTAGAGCAGTCGATCGGCGTTCGGGAACTCCCGCGGGCCATGGATTGCGACGGCGAGGCTTCCATGCTAAAGGACTGCTTCCGTCGCGCGTGTCAGACGGCAGGCGGGGAATTGGGCGTGGAATTGTACGGGCATGTGCAAGAGAAGACTCGGGCATGGTGCAGCGATGGGGCATATCCAACTGTTCCCATGGCCCTCGGCTGCAACGGTTTCGTTCCTTCGGTGGTGTTTTTGCGCGCGGGGTGAGATGCATTCGGCTCGCGTGCTTCTGGCCAAGTCGATGAAAGAAGATGGCGGAATTCGGGCGGCGGGCGGTCTGCTGGCAATACGCTGACGTCTCCAGTTTGTTTTCAGCTTTTCCTAAATATTACACAACTCGAAAACGCTGTGTGTGTTTCCAGCTTTCCCAGCTTTTCCAGCTTGTCCCAAAGACTGCGGTGTAATACGCTGTGGTTTTCGGCTTACCGAGCCTCTCCAGCTGTTCCTAAATATTACCCCAGTGAAAAACGCTATGCTGTCAAGCTTTTTCAGCTTTTCCAGCTGCTCCCAAATTTTAGCACAACGAAAAGCGATGTGCTTTCCCGCTTTTCCACATTTTTTCAGCTTTGCCCAAAGACTACCTAAGTGAAGCCCATTGTTATTTTTCACGTTTTCCAGCTGTTCCAGCTTTTCCAAAGAGTACGCGGCAGGGTGCTCCAGGGTGGTCCAGGGTAGTCTTTGGGAAAAGCTGGGGGAGCCGGAACAGCTGAAGCACACAACGTTGTTTTCACGGGCGTAGTATTCGGGAAACTATGGGAAGTTGTAAAGCACAGCGTTGTTCATTTTGGGAAAACTTGGGAACGTCGGAAAAAGTTGGGGGACACCACGTGTTTCATTGGGGCAGTCTTTGGGAAAAACTGGAACAATTGAGCAACACAGCGTTTTTCAGTGGTGTCGTTTTCGGGGAATGTTGGGGAATTTGGACACTCAGGACAACGCAGCGTTTTTCACTGGGGTAATAATTTGGGAATATTGCGGGATTTGGAAAAGTGGAAACACAGCGTGTTTCAGTGGGGTAGTCTTTGGGGTGAGCTGGAAAAGCTGGAAACCACAACGTTTTTTGTTGACTCGAATCGTTTGTGGGAGAGCTGGTAGCTGGGGAAGCTGGGCAACACAGCGTTTCGTTCTGACAGAGGCAAAAACAGAGAAAGAGAGAGAGAGAGAAACATAGAAAGAGAGAGAGAGAGTAGCACACTGTGAGAGGGACGGAGAGAGAGAGAGAGAGAGATAATACGTAGACGAAGACGAAACAGACCATGATAATAATGAGTATGTCTGATTTTCGAGAGGGGGCGGCTGTATACATATACATATACATATACATATACATATACATATACATCTACACATACATACACACATTTATGCATATATTTATGTTGTATGTATGTATGTATGTATGTATGTATACACATACATACATACATACATATATATATGTGTGTATTAGTAGAACCATCGCTCGCGCTTCGCGCGCGCGCTCAAGGATCTTGGGGGCCGGTATCAAGCACAGGCGCGTGACATAGACGTGCCTCCTGAGGCCTCTCAGGGACCTCTTGGGTCTTCGTGGGGGCATCTGAAGGGCTTCTGGGGAGTTCTCCGTGCTTCCTCAATTTGCTGTTGGAGGCACCTCTTGGGTGCTTCCTTGGGGTGGCCTCTTGGGGCTTCTTTCAAGGGCAGAAAAAAACGCCCCTACCCTGGTTTACGAGGCGCTGTGCGCTGAAACTCCTGTGGGCTGACAGGGTACACCCTGCGTGATGTGCCGCGTCCTGCCGGCTCTAGGCTTTGGGGTTCCCAGGAGGTTTACAGACCACGCACTTGTAACCCAGGGTAGGGTCGTTTTTTTCATCCCTCATTCTTGGGGTCCCTTGGGAGCATGGTCGGGGTTCTCCGGGCAGTCGGACGGTGATGTTTT